ATCTAATATTAAAAAAAAATTGTGCATGGAAGCAATGCTAGGAATCTCTCTGTATAGCTATCCTTATCTCAACTAGCAAAAGCGCTATGTATTTCTTATTATTGTTTATGTCTTCTCTTCAACAAAATTAGAGAAAAGGGCAGAACAGATTATGCCTGGAAGCAAGGAGGGTGGGGAGGAGAAGGACAGGACAGAGGGCAGGGGAGAGTGATGATCCAAACATTGTATATACATATGAATAAATGAATAAATAGACAAAAAATAACTAAATTTGAAAATTTTTCATCACAGAGTATGTTGGCTGGAAAAGAAGAGTTCACTACATTATGTAGAGTCCTTGGAGAGTGTGCAAGACAGATCTGCCATCATGCTAAGAATTGCTTTCAGGACAATATGCAATATATTATAAGATAAATTTTTTTCATTGGTTTTAAATCACTCCTCTGATAATACGTTTTGAATTTGATTCAGTTAACGGAGAGTATGAGCTTGTACAGTGGATCACCTGATAATTTTATTCAAGACCTTGTAGAAATTTAGGTCAAAGGTACTTATATTTTAGTTCCTGTTTCTATCAACCTTAACCTCCCTTGTGCAGGCAGAATTCAGGTACAAAGCAGTGCTCAGCAACAAATAAGACTTTACTTAGGTCAAATGTACCAACTATAAAAAAAAAGAAAAATAACAAACAAGGTTCAGAAGAAAGATTACAGACACCAAGCAGCAGTGACAGGAGAAAGTAAAAAGTTTGCCTTAAGCAAGTAATCAGCTGAGAAAATCTCATAGAATGGTAGAATGCAGTGATGGTACTGGCTGCAAGTTCAGGTTTGTGTCTCAGAAGGAGGAAAAAAATAAGGGATAGCTTTTCACTAAAACAGGAATTACTTGTTCCTAAGCCTCAGATCAGTCTTACAATTTTCTTTGGCGTTCTTAGTATGGTCAGGGCTGGAACTGGAGTAAGTTTGTTGTGTACCCAGGTTTGAGGAAGGTGACAGATTCAGTTTCTGTCACTGTTTCTTGTCATGCTGGTAACCTCAAAGCACAATAGTCAAGGTCATAGACATAAGAATTATTTAAATGTTCGAGCGCAGCATTCTTCTTGTACAGCTGTCATTTAATTAAACATAAGTGATCTCCCCTTTGGGATAATTTTATTTTAATAATAGCTAAAAGAAACATAGTTACTTGATGTTTAAGGTCTAAATTCATATTACTTCTTGCTTGCAATATTTCTGTCTTTATAATCTATATAGTAAAGCAAATATTTATACTAACTACAAAATATTTAGAAGATTGGGGAGCATATGATAAGCAATATTTTACCTACAAGGACCACTGCATTATTTATACTCATGCATTGTGTTTGAAAGAGGCTTTAATAAACTCAAAATAGTGTTACTCCAAGAAGTTTAGTGTTTGCCCAATCAAAGGTCACATTTTATATGGCCCAATGACTCTCCACATATAGTGAAAGTCTTTTTATGTATATTTTAAAATTTTGTCCAAATCTCATGAGTCCTCTTCTAAAGTACTCCTTAGAGTTTAAGGAATTTAGAAATCACATATCTAGTTCAGCTTATATTTTTAGAAGACAAAGAAAGTCCAAACTGGAAATAGAAAGTCAAGGTTTTATTGGTAATTGACAGAATTTGGACTCATATTCTGTGAAAATTCCAATTCCATTATAATGCAGTACTTTTCTTATAAGCAGCAATTACAAAATAATCTCATCTACTGTTGTGTGTATATGTATATATGCACATGTATGCATACCTCCAGATTCTTTTCTTACTTCTATATCTTTAGGAGGTATGATGTGATATGTTGCTATATATATATATATATATATATATATATATATAGCTTGTAATGATTAAATCACTCTAATTAACATATAGGCCATTTTATATATATATATTTTGGTAAGAACCTTTGAAATTTACTTGTATAGCAATCTAGAAATATGTAATACATTACTATTAACTATTGTTACCAGACTATGTAATAGATACAAAAAAAAGTTATTCCTTTTCTCTAACTGAATCTTGTACATTGGGCCAGCATCTCTTTCTCTCAAACACCTACTATGGCATCTGGAAGCCACTGTTTTACACCATTCTTTTTCATTGAGTCCCACTTTTAAATTATATATAAAACTGAGATCATATAGCATTTATTTTCCTGTGCAAATAGTTTTAAACACATTGATTTTATTTTCTTCCAATATGTACCTAGAAGTTGGATTGCTAGATCATATAGTAGTTCTACTTTTAATTTTGAGAAGAAACCTCCATGTAGTTTCCCTTAAAACTATACTAATATGGATTCCAGTCAACAGTGGATAAATGTTAAGAATTCATTTTTGAAAAGTGGTAATGGGTGTTTCAACTGAGGACCTTCTGTTTTCTAGAGAAACAGTCTACCACTTGAGCACAATTCCAGTCCTTTTTGCTTTATCTTTTATTGCTTTAGGTAAATTTTCAGATACATTCTTGCTTTTTGCCTGAACAGTGATCTTAGCACTTAGCATTGTGTCTGACACATTTCAATGTATCAAAAAATGTTAGAGAATGAAGTTCATGTTCTTGTAGAATGATTTTTGATTTATTTGTCTACTAGCATAATTATTTTTCCTCTGAGTGAATAAAATGTTTCCTTAGACATGAATCTACCACATTTCAACAGGAATTAGCATTAAATAGATGTACAAGGACAATTTTGGACAATTGCTTGTTTTCCCTTTTATTTGGCGTCGAGATCATTTCCTCTCCTCATTGCAATAGTCCTGACCATTATTTGCAATAGTTTTGTTTATATTATTATTGATATTATTATTGGCTTTGTTTTGTCTTTTGAGACAAGGTCTCATTATGCACCCTAGGCTGGACTCAAACTCATTTGCATAGGCCAGATTGGTATTGAACTCAGTATCTTTATGCTTCTGTCTCCTGAGTGCTGGATTACAAAAATACATCACCATACCCTGCTTATTTGCAGTAGTTTTAAACAATGTCTTGTCACAAATTTAATAAAATTCAGAATAATGTTTCTTTTTTGCAGTACTGGGTTTTTGAGCTCAGGGCCTACTGCTTGCACAAATTATTGAAAATATTTAACATTTCTCATCAATGGCATAATTGCCCTATTTTTATTTCTGTCACTGTCTCTTAAAGGGGGAAAATTAGTTTTCATTTAATTACCTTCCTTGGGAATATCTCTTTTTCCTATTGGGATTCATTAGCAATTCTTCAGTTTCATCAACATGACAATTTCATGCCAGTAAATATCATTTCATTCCTCTTGTTTTGATATGTATATAACATATCCTGTGCATGAATTTTATTATTTTATTATAAGCAGGAATTACTAATATTTTTGTTTCATACCATGAATACATTTTAATATGGCCTTCCTGATAGCTCATATTTCCTGGTACATGTTGAATTCAACATCAGCAATTCATAACTAAGTACCCACTGAGGTTATCAGGCACAATTAGAGGCAATTGCATTCTTTATAGAAAAATCTTTTACTCTTAGTTTTTATTTAAGTACATGTGCATGCAAATAACACATTTTGGACAGAATGTGATTGAGAGTCAGGTTTTGCTTAATATTACCCACAAATCTATTCCCAAAATATTATCAATGTCAGGAATCTCACCTTCTTATATTGCTATTCCTGTACCTTGAAAGTGTTTTATTTCTTTTATCTTTAAATATCTTCCTTTCAATTAAACTGAGTGTTTATTACTCAGTGCATTAAATGTGCAGTGTTTTCAAAACTCTGTGTAAGGCCTCATATAAACAAATAATGAAGACACATCCTAGCCAACTAAAGGTAGATGATTTGGTGAAGAAAAAGCTTAAATGATCTTTGAAAAACCATATGGTTATGATGAGGGAGAATACACAACGCTATGGAAACACAAAGAAAACATCACAGAAATAAAAATGTGTGGAGTTTAGTTTGGAAGGCAGACATGCGACAGAACAGGCAGGCTGATGGAACACCAAAATAAATGTGTCAGTAAAATTTAGTTTGCCTACAGGTAAACATGCACCATTATTTACTCAGCTAATTCTCATTTGCTGGTCAGTAAATTGTTTTCATTTTTGTTATTGAAATAAAAATGTGCTGAATGTCTTTTATATACACAATTGATAATATTTCTAATATTTTCTCATTTGGATAATAAATTTTTGAGTTAATGGCAGGAGAAATGGATACCTGGACTAGGGTGGTGAATTGTAAGTTGTCTCTGAGAGATAAATAGAGGGGACTAGGACAACTATTGGAAGATGAGCGTTACTTCAGAATTTGTTTACTGAAGTTCAAAGCAGCCTCAATTACTGGACTCTGGTGATTAAGAATATTGTCCAGTCTTAGGATGTGGGTAATATTCTTCCAAAAGAGTCCTTGTGACTTGCTTCATGTAGGGAAACACAAACCAGATGACCCTTCCTGCAATGATAGTTCCTCAAGTAATTTCAGCTTGAAAGTCAGCACACCAATTTAGAACATTTTGTGAAGCTGAACTGTGAGGTTTGTTTTATCTTAACCCTTATTGTCAAAGTCTGGTGTCGATACTGAATTTTTTAAATTAAGTATTGTTAATTAATGTACAATATCTCTGTTAAGGTAAATTGCAAATGTTGACAGTTCAGAAAAACAGTTAATGTTCATTTGTAATGTTGCTGTTTCAACTTAGGTTTTATACCTGATTTAAAAATTTTGTAGAAAAATTATTATGACTAAAACAAAACTAAATAATGACACCAGAACCATGGATTTTTGTTGTTTTATACTTAGTTATCACTATGTATTGGGGTTGTTCCAGAAACACTTTTTACCTATGTTCTAATGTAGCATATTAAATATATGAAATTAGAATTATTATGATATATCTTGTACTCAAGTATATATGCTAATATTTATAATTTGATGATTACCTATATTAAAGAAAGTATCTACAAATATTTTGTAATATTGTTTTCCAGATGCCCCTAAATTTGTTTCAAACCAAACAATTTATTACTCTTGGGAAGGAAATCCAATCAATATAAGTTGTGATGTGAAATCAAACCCGCCAGCATCAATCCACTGGAGAAGAGACAAATTAGTCTTACCAGCTAAAAATACCACTAATTTAAAGACTTATAGTGCAGGAAGAAAGATGATATTGGAGGTAAGTGTTCATTCATATATCAGAAGTTATTTTAGCAGTATACACTCTTTAAAAATATATTTAAATTTATTTACATAAAATATATATTGAAACATTCATGTGTAGATTTCATATTTGTTTGCTTGATTTTATGCATTTGGTGCATGACACATTTATTACAAACATATCATATTTACTGATAGAGTAATATGGATATATAACAAATACCCTTATTTTTCATGAATGTACTTTTGGAAAAAAAACAATTATATCAGGAAATTACATGAAGAAGTAGTTAATAATTTCACATTTATTGTGGGCCAAAATTCAGCTTCAACACTGTTTTTTCATTCATCCTACATTAATAACTTTGTTCTCCTATGACTGAAAGTGTAAGTATTGTCTGCTGGCAACACAGTGTAGCTCTATAGTATGCTTCAAGATGAACCATGTCTACTTGTTCAGTACCTCATTTTATTTTTTAAAAGATTGTGCCTAATTATTTTATACTGCCATAGTAGCTGGCTTTAAACAACTCTTTTAGTGGGACGCTATTTAATGTTTTTACTTGTCAATTGTGTGTACCAATTCCTAAGCTATACACATACATGACAGTGACTACCAGTCCTGCCACTGTATGATGCATTAGGAGAATTGTCAATATTTTGTAGCCTTATTCAAATAAAAATCTGTTACATTTTCCTCCAATATTTCAGTTTAAATAAATGAAAAGAAACATGGGCTTCAAATAATACCTGTTAGTCATGCCATAATAACTTAAGATGCTTTCATTTGTGCCACAATATCTCTTCTCCCTGGTAAATGGATTTATTAAAATGCTCCATTAATAGAATTATTTAATATCACATCTCCAATTACTTGAATATGTGATTATTAATTAATCTACTTGTCAATTAAAATCAATTTCTGTACAATTTTATTTGAAAAATGTAGCTTTTGGTGAATTGATATAAATGCCAACTTTGTAAAGACTGTTTGGACAGATTTTATCTAAATTCTAGGTTTATTTTTAACCTTTACTCAAAATTAAGCTTAAGTTTAACTTTAGTTTTGTGTAGTGTATTAGTCTTGTATACCACTATGATAAGATAAGACTGACAGGCTAGAAGGTTTAAAAGACAGAAATTTAACTTCTTCTTTCTGGAAATTGAAAGTTTATCAGGAAGATTGGTTTTTGGAGAGGACTCTGACCTCAGTTTTAGGTGGACATTTTCCTACAGTATCCTTTGCCCAGAGGGAGGGCTGAGGGACCTCAGCCTCTCCTTACAGGGGAAGCAGACCTGTTGCTTTACTCCCCACCCTCATGGCCCCATTTAACTTTAATAACTTAATACAGTTGTACTGGGAATTACCTTGTCAATACTGGAAATTGTGGTAACACATCAGTGTCTGTAGAGGAGAGAGTCCCTATCTACTTCTCCTTTAGCTGTTACATGGACTTTTTGGTTGTATCTAGGAACCCAATTAGTACAAGAGCAAATTAATAAGAGACAATAATAAAAGCTGTATCATTTTTACATGTGTATGGAGATTTTCAAAACAGAGAGAGGTTCTAAGAAATGACCAAAGCATAATGTTTTCATACATTTTAGAGAAAGAACAATGTGTTTGTGAAGGATATATGGATTAGTATAGTAAATTCTGGAGGCTTTCCAGTTACTCACAGGCACATGAGGGGTAGAAACTAGTGGATGGTAAAGATCACTGGAATATGTTTTAAGGTCACTGAGCTCTAGTTACCAGTGTCTGGTGATCAAGGCTATTTTTTGCCTTAGTATGAGAAGTACAACATCCCCAGAAGAGTGATTTCAGGCTTGTTACATGGAGGGAAATAAAGGCAAATGATACTTTCTGAATATACCATCTGCTGAGCAACTGCAGGTTGTAATGGTTACATACCAACCACAAATTTGTCCTGCTACCTCTGTGTGTCCTTGAGCTCCATCACACCTGTAGTTCACACTTAATCAGAGTGCTGTGCAGTTTTCTTTTATTTTGCTTATTTTGGACAATTTTAGTTTCTCTGCACCTCATAATTCTACATTGTTAATGTCAAATAATATCTTTAAAGATGACATTTAAGTATTTTAATAATATAAAAATCTTATGTTAGTTAAATAAATGACATTTTTCTCACCCAAAAGTGAAAAATAATAGTTGTTTACCTTATAATTAGCAAGCTTTCTGTTGATTAAAGCAGTAACTTTTAAAACTTTTATATGTATACTAATTTTAATAAGTTAAATATAAATCTTGAATAAAATATACAGATGTGTATCTAACACCACCTGAAAAGAAAGTATCAGAAAACATTAACAACCCAAAACCAAACGGAACAATCAGTATTACTGATTTTTAATTATTAGCATAAATAGTTGTTTGGGATAATACATTTCATTATTTCTGTTTAATGCTAATTATACTGGTCACATGAGTGTGGGCTTTTAAGAAAATTTAATCAAAATTAGAAAAATAACGTTAAACATTAACAAATTGGTCAAAAACATTTTTTTTTAATTTGGCAATATTGAGGTTTGAAGTCAAGGCCTCATTTTCAGAGACAGGTATTGTACCTCTTGAGTCACATCCCAGTCCTTTTATGCATTTGGTTATCTTCTGTGGGATCTCGCATTTTTGCACAGGGCCAGCTCCCGAGCATGATTCTTGTTCTTACCGCCTCCATGCAGCTGGAGTTACAGATATGACCCACCATGCCTGCACACATTTATCTAGACTGGGTCTCATTTTACTTCAGTTGGCCTTGTTTTCTTGAGATAGGGTCACACAAACTTTGCCTGGTCTGGGATAGAACAATGACCTTCCTGTATCTGCCTCCACTGTAGTTGGGATTACATTGTGCCTGGAAATTGATTTTTAACTTTTAGTTTTCTTTAACTAACCATAATTTTTGAGTTAATGACAATAAATGCATGTGTAGTGGTCATAAAGATATTTTTTTATTCTGAGCACATCTTGAGGTAATAGTATATCTTTTCATATATGGGAAAAGTTAATGACAAAATCTCAGTCAGTTGGCTGGGTATTCTGATTTAGGTCCCCTGAATTATTGATCATCTCATCCTAGACAAGGGATACTGACCATTAAGTACATGATTTTTTTGCCATGGACTAGAGAAAGAAGAAATCTTTTTTTGTGGGTGTGTGCAGGCCTAGGAAAAAGAAGCCAAGTTTCTTTATTTATAGTGAACTCTCAGCTTCATATTCAAAACTGGATTTTTTGATATTGTGTCAAAGCCTAACGTCACAAATGAACATGAATTCATTTGAACTAGATATTCAAATACAAAAAACGTTTTATGAGTGGGGACATGTTTTGGGTTTTCTAACTATTCTTATACCTCCCGTATGTGCTATCCCCTTGTCATGTGACCCAAGTCCAACCATATTGCTGCATTTGCCCTAGATCTAAAGTCCACATATGAGGGAGAACATATGATTTTTGGTCTTCTGAGACTGACTAAACTTGCTCAGAACGATATTCTCCAGTTCCATCCACTTACCTGCAAATAATAAGATTTAATTCTTCTTCATGACTGAGTAAAATTCCATTGTGAATAAATATTACATTTTTTTGATCCATTCATCAGTAGTGGGGCATCTTGGTTATTTCCATAACTTGGTTATTGTGAGTAGTGCTGCAATAAAATGGATGTGCAGGTGCCTCTGGAGTAACCTGTGTTGTGTTCCTTTGGGTATATCACCAGGAGTGGGATTGAGAAACTAATACAGAAACTTTAAAGCAACAGAGATCAACATGAGAAGGGGACTAGAAACCAGTGTAAAGATCAGTTAGAGATGAATCAACTAGGGTTTTAACACATTTGTACATGAAAGCCATGCTAGGCTTTGTATAGCAATCCTTAACTCAACTAGCAAAAATGCTTTGTCTTTCTTATTATGCTTATGTCTTCTCTTGAACAAAATTAGAGATAAGGGCAGAACAGGTTCTGCCTGGGAGTGAAGTGGGGGAGGGGGAGAAAGGTGGGGGAGGGGGCCAGGGGGAAGAAATGACCAATGTATGCACATGTGAGTAAATGAATAATAAAAAATTTTTTTAAAAAGTTTTACGATTAGATGTTCTTAATATTCCTTAGATAAATATCAATAATGCTTTGCACATTGTAAATATTTAAATATTGTACTTGATATTTTATTATATCTCTGGGTGTATTGTCATATATTTTGATAAAACTTTCTAATATTTCTTTTCCTGAGTTTGCATGTGATACCTTTATTGCAGTCATTGGACTTGAGTTTCTTATTGCTTTCCTCAGAATACATCAAATAAACTTCAGGGAATAAGATTTTGCCAGGCTATGTCTGGAGTTCTGGTTTTGTTCCTTTATTTTGATCTGTGCTATGGAGGATATTTTCTGTAATTGTTAACAATAATATACAATGAAGGAATTACCTGTTTGACATAGAATTGTAAAGAATTTTCCTGTTGGAAGCTGAACTCCTGGGGTGAAGGGTTGTGAATTGAGTCTTTAAAAATGTTTCCAATGAAAATGGCTACTTAAATTATTAATCTTAAGGAGCTTTGCAATATTCAGAATTATTTGCTGTGGCTATCTTTCCTGTGCATTGTATTGATTCAACAGACACACTCTTTCTCATGGTCTTGATAAAAATTTTTCTCATGTGCTCATAGAAAAAGAAAATATTTTGTTACATCTACCTCATTAGTAAAACTACTTTAGAGTTAAATCAAAAGTAAGAAAACTGAATATTTGAAGCACTTGGGAGAACTTATGTAAGTGCTATTAAAATTTCTAAGGCTCATGTCTGTAAACTGTTACTAGAGAGACAGCTGACGGGAAAATGAATTCACACAGCTTTTATTACATGGGTCAGAATTAACCATCTTCAGTGGACTTCAAAATTAAATCAAAAGTAAGAAAACTGAATATTTGAAGCACTTGGGAGAACTTATGTAAGTGCTATTAAAATTTCTAAGGCTCATGTCTGTAAACTGTTACTAGAGAGACAGCTGACGGGAAAATGAATCACACAGCTTTTATTACATGGGTCAGAATTACCATCTTCAGTGGACTTCAAAATTGCACTCTTAGTTAATAGCCTCCCATTATCACAAAATCATCTTTCTGTCTTTTGGAATAGAGTTGAAATTAACAGCAACTCTTGTTGTAAGCATATTCTCTCTTACTAATAGTTACTGGAATTGAAAATTATATCTATCACCATCATCAAATCTTCTTTGGAAGTGATACTTCAGAATTTCTGCACACTGCAATTATAGGGTGGGTCTCCATCGTTCCCAACAGAATCCCCAAAGGTTAACTTAATTACGGATCTCAAACACTGCAATTATAGGGTGGGTCTCCATCGTTCCCAACAGAATCCCCAAAGGTTAACTTAATTACGGATCTCAAATGTGCAAAGATTGAAGTCAGTTATTTTCCACCTAAACTAGAAGAGAATGGTTGGAATTGAATGGAATGGAGGCACAATACTATTACGAGACAGGAGGAAAATATTTCTGCCTGTGAAGATTTGCACAGAAGCAGTGTCTTCTTGCAAAACAACTTCTTGGAGAGAGTTTATAGAATGGTTCCTCATTGTTATTAATATTTTATATCTGTAAACTCAAGAAAGAGAGAAATATACATTTCACATAGTCTGAGCCTTTATTGAGCTTTGGATCAGCTAGGTCTGAAGCCTATAGTTAACATTGCTTTGAAACAAGCTTCCAGGGCTCAAGTCCATGCCTACTTTCACTGTAAACTGTATATTTTAAATGGTGTGCTATATTTTGTGTTTTGACAATTTTGCTCTTAATTGCCTGCATCATTGTGACACTGATCCTGTTAAGGAATTAATAGATAATTTATGCTTCCCCTACTCCAGTGGATAGTACAGTTTCGTGGATTAGTTTGTAAAGGTGTTTACATCATTTATTGATGCTTAGTTGGTAAAAAGTTATGGGCAAGGAGTCTTATGGTGAATAATTAAACATATGTGCAAGTGGTAGGCAGACTGGAGTTCAATAAAAGTTACTTGGTGTTTTAACATTATAACTTCTATTATTGCAATATTTTAGATTGCACCTACATCTGACAGTGACTTTGGACGATATAACTGCACAGCCACTAACCGTATAGGAACAAGATTTCAAGAATATATTCTTGCTTTAGCTGGTAAGTATAGAATAATATATTTTTGAAATCTCATAATTTTTTTAACAAATGGAATTTTAAATTGATAGAGTTACATAGTTGAGCAAATAAATGAATTGTAACTGTAATCTCAGCTACTCCAGAGGCACATATTGTGGACCTCCCAGTTTGTTTGAAGCCAGTCATGGAAAGTTAGAGACTCCATCTCAACCAGTAAGCCAGACATGGTTGTTCATGTCTGTAATCCTGCCTATGTGAATCTGTAGTTAGTTAGGATTGTGGTCTGAGAATGGCCCAGGTGAAAACACAATACCCTGTCTGAAAAATAAGTAAAGTAAAATGGGCTGACAAAGTGACTAAAGTGATAGAATATCTGTCTACCAAGTATGAGGCCTAAAAATGTGTTACATAATTTTACATACTAACAGAAAATTATTTTACATTTTCCTAAGTCAACACAGAGGACATTATTTGACAGAATGCTTGAGGGCTTAAAAATCTGTAGCACTGAAACTTGGCACATCGTAAGAACATAGAATGTTTGTAACAGTTAAAGCTGATTTTTAAATGTTGGTTTTAATTTCTCCACATTTTATAAGTGAGATATTTGTGAATATAAACAACACCTTTTAAGAAATCAGATATTTGAAATAAAGTAAGACTCTAGTTCAAAAATTAAAAAGTAAAACTATTTTGAACTTTTACACTTTAACAGAACAAATAGCTCTGTTACTTTTAATGTAAAATAGAAAAAATTTAAGGTTATAAAGTAATATTTCATTTCATGTGTGCAAAAATTATCTTGTTCTGTCCCTAAAGCTTAATGGTACAGAAATAATCATATGTAGGCTAAAATATTTTTGACTAGAAATCAAGCTATGTCTTAGTTAGGGAAGTATTTATAGAATTTTCCATCTCTTCAATAAGACTGAAAATATCTTTTTACATATAGCTTGCATCGAAAATGGTTTTTAAAGCTAGATAAGCCTGAGGAAATTATAGTAATTTCATTTTTAATAGAATAATATCTTTTAAAGAAATGTTACCTTATTTTGTGAGTTCTCATGTCAGTCTGATTTTATATTAATTAATATAAAAGCATGTTCTTTCTATTACTATCTAAGTATAGTCTCATAAGCAAGGTCAGTAGTTCAGAAATGCTCTAAAGAAATTTTTAACTTTAAAATGATCATAAAACTCATAATACTGAATTATTACAAAACTTAGCCTGTTATTCTTCAATTCTAACACTAGGATAGAAGGAGGGACATTTTTCTACATTGTGGGAGAAAGCAGAGGGAAGACTCTGGAAGGTTTGAGGGAAGGAAGGAGGGAGTAAAATACTGAGAGTGGGGAATTGCAGTAGGAAAGGAAGGAGGACACCAGAGATGAAGAAAGAAAGAGATTAACTAATATTTGTTACCTACCATGAAGTCATTAAAAATTCAATTTTAATGAAAATCATGGGAAATGCACTGTCTGTATTTAGGAATATGAATAAACCATTATATATTCAATTAAATTCTAGGTAAATGAAAATTGTTGACATCAGATTAATTGATAAATTGCAGTATCATTTGTACAGATCAGTAACATTCATTACTTAAATTAATTGCAAACATTAAGAAATTCGGCAAATTTCTTTTTATGTAGTAATAACATTTTACAAATAACTAGATATGTAATCAATATATGTACATATAATTTTATTCATATCAATACATTATTATATTGTGCTATTTCTATGTATGATTTAGTTTTCTGTAGGGACATCTACATAAATGACAAGAATTTGTTTCATATGATGTAAAAATTTTAATATCAGGAAGACTATGAAAAATAAAACATTTTGTTGATGATATTCAAACAATATCATTAAATTCATACAAAATAATATTTACCACTTTCATATTTCATAATACTGCTGTAAGTTTTTTCATTTGAAAATATAATTGATGCCTCAACTTCCAATGAATATATAAAGTAGTGAATTTATCTCTACCCAATCACAGTAAATTTAAATGTTTCATTCAAGCAAAAAGTTGGAATGTTTTCAGAAATATTTTCTCAATATTGTGATTCTTTGGTGATTCCAAGTATACAATTCTAGCTGAAACTTTGTTTCAACAAAAGATAGATTCAATTGAAATTGTGATGCATATATAAAAATTCAGAAGGCCTCAAAGAGGAAATATACCTTTAAACAATACTTGTAAATATGATTTCTTTGACTAGACTCCTTTATTTAGTACTAATTTTTGAAACAAGAATATAGACATTAAATATAAACATTAAAAACATAATGAAATTTTAATAGTGATATTAGAATCCAGGCAAGTTAAAACAGGTGTCCATGGGACAAGACAGAAATAGCAGCCAGAGAGGCGTTTTGGAACCTTGTCAGATTTGGGAGATACTCACAAAAGGGTTATATAAGGATATGGGGTGATGGATGAACAGATTCTTCAAAGGTTTGATAAAATTAGTAGATTTATACAATGCAATAAGTGACACATTTCCCTTTTACAGAGGAACGTTACAAACACCAGATAGAAAGAAAACTCAAATGATCTTATACTGATTCGGCATTGGAGGCAGAGATATGAACTCTGGTTTCAGTGTATGTACATGAATGCATAAAGGAGAAAAGTAGATGTCTGTGTGTGTCAGTGTTCAGTCATTTTGACAAAGAGCTTCTTTGTTCTAAGAATGCCACTTAGAATACAATTTCTGACCTAGTGCTACCCATTGAGAGGACTTAGGAACTTCAACACCCCCACAAAAAAGATTCTGGTTCCATATATCATTCCTCTATAAAAATAACTAAGTTTCTTTGTAGAAACTTAATGCTAATTTCAGAAATAGCATGGGAAAAAAAAGGACAGAGTAAGCATGGGAAAATTGTGGTATCAGAAAGTAAAACTAAATCAAACCAATTCAAACAACAAAAATATTTAAGGTCCCATGTCGAATGTTGCATAAATCAACATCCCCAAGCAATGTAGTGTAAATGAATTCACCCAAGACACACCAACAGCTTCTAAAGACTGCAAAAGTTAATTGCAAAAATGATCAATAGAAATCTTGAAGTCAAGGATGGTGTTCAAACCTGTAATCCCAGCCCCTGGGAAGTGGAGGCAAGGGGATTGTGAGTTTGAGGCCAGCCTAGACAGCAGAAGGATAACCTATCTCAGAAAATAAACAAACAGAAGAATGAGTTCCAAAATACTTTTTTAAATTTCTAGTTTACTATAAAAAGAAATATAGTAACTTTATGGTTGATAAACTTAACTTACCCCACATTAACTAAGTGATCAAAGATAACATCAGCAATATTGAGGAAATCATACTGAGGTACAAAGAGGCAGCAAAAAGAGAGTAGAATAACTTCTGTGATAATTCTCCCCAAAATGTACAATTAGAATTTAATCAAAATTCAAATCGAGAGGTCATCTGTAAAATATCTACCCTTCACAGTTTCAAAGTCAAGGAAACCAAGAAAAGGTTCAGGCAGTTTCCCAGACTAAAAGACCATGATAGACTTGATAAAAAAAAGTAACATGCATGGATCTGAATTGCTTCATTTTACTAAAAAGCACATTATTGACATGTTGAGTAAACCTTTATTTTGATCATACCCACTTAAGTGGTTCAGCTAAACAATATTACTATGTTTTTTCCTGCAAATTTTTTAAGAATTGAAATTCTTTCAAAAAAAAATTGAAGAAAACTAAGACAAATAAAGAACAATGCATGAAACAAAGAAGCTTTATACAAGCAAAATAATTATGAAAATATGCAGTGTTCTTGATAAAATCATCTACATATTTGTTCATGAACAGGTCAATATATGATCCATTAGATGATATGAAAAATTAAAATAGTATTTTTCATAGTGCATAATAATTCATCATAGACAATTAGCACATTTCATAATATACATATTTTATTCTAAAATACAGCAATAGAAAGGTTTGAAATCTCTTAATCAATACCCTTATAACATTGTTCATAAAAGTACAATTAGAATGTAATCTAGTCAGTAGTAGTGTAAAAGACCATTATGATGTATTATGGAGATTGAGCATACAGGTGCAAACCACTTGTAAACCTTTATTTTGATCATACCCACTTAAGTGGTTCAGCTAAACAATATTACTATGTTTTTTCCTGCAAATTTTTTAAGAATTGAAATTCTTTCAAAAAAAAATTGAAGAAAACTAAGACAAATAAAGAACAATGCATGAAACAAAGAAGCTTTATACAAGCAAAATAATTATGAAAATATGCAGTGTTCTTGATAAAATCATCTACATATTTGTTCATGAACAGGTCAATATATGATCCATTAGATGATATGAAAATATTAAAAATAGTATTTTTCATAGTGCATAATAATTCATTCATAGACAATTAGCACATTTCATAAGTAATATACATATTTTATTCTAAAATACAGCAATAGAAAGGTTTGAAATCTCTTAATCAATACCCTTATAACATTGTTCATAAAGTAGAAATGTAATCTTAGTCAGTAGTAGTGTAATTATGATGTATTATGGAGATTGAGCATACAGGTGCAAACCACTTGTACTCATGAGCCAGATGCTTCATTCCTTCATTCTCCATTTGCCATGTTGTCTGTTGGGAAAGAACAGCTTGGTAGTTTACATTAAACAGGAATTATTAGCTAAACTGAATCATGAGTAGTCATCATAATTCTTGTAGTAACTCAATGAAATACATAAAAGATTATTTATACCCTGTTCAACAGTAGAAAGAAAGGTTCATAAATTATGTAACATATACATAAGCACATTTTCTTATTATTATGTTTATCACTATGTTTTTAAAAGTGGGTGTGATGAAATAGATATTGACTAGATCAATGGCCTCTCTTAAGTAGAATTAGCCTGAGAACAGCAGCTCTTTTTGCTTTACTATTTCTTACATGAGATTCCAATACTTTGACTCTTTAAAAAATTATTTATCATTTATTTATTTTAATTTATGGTAAGTGC